TTGTTGCTGTATTGTTTGCTGCTGTTGCTGCTGCTGTTGTTGTTGCTGCTGCTGCTGCTGCTGCTGTTGGGTGGTGGCACCAAAGGAACCCTGCTGCTGCAGTGGGAAGGCTGCCTGCAGGATTAGCTGTGTGGATTGGTTTCCATGTAGAACACGAGGAGCCTTCATAAAAAAAGAAGGATATCAGTTTCAGATGAATCTTATCTGTTATGTCCATTTGGACTTGGAGCTACAATTTTAGAGTCAATGTTTTTCAAGTAAACTGACAAACTGCAACTGTTTATGTTAAATATACTTTGATTAACCAGAATCCTTGTAGCACTGCAAGGTAATTTATTTAAGCATTAGTTTAAATTAGACGCTGTAATCTGAATACATAGAGCATTTGAATGCATTTCCATAAAATAATCTACTATTAATAAGTTTCAATCCATTGTCTATTAACTGTCTGCTAAAACAGAAACAGCCTCATCTCATGCCGTTTATGACACAACAATGTCAAAATACACAGGATAAACATGTATGATTAACTGTAAATAAATATTAAAACCTATAACACTTCAAATCTCCACCCGTTTGACCATAAACATTTATCTCACATCATGCAAAGATGCAAGATTAAAAGTTAACTAGTTGTTAGGATGAGATGCTCAGCTCGGTGACTTCAGCTTTGTTTCCATAATACCTTGAGAACCACTGCAGGCCGATTATTATCACTAAAGTTGAAAATGTGTCTGGTCAGATGTCAACCTTATGCATGTGACTTTTTTCTGTGTGTTGCAGCTGAACTCCTGTAAACATTAGTATGTCCGTGTCAACTGCTCTGCACTGTGAAACAGTCTTCTGTTGTGTGACGTGTGGAGAAAAGACATAATTCAGAGTCAGCGTCACCTGTAGGAACTGTGTTTGCTGCTGGCCCAGAGGAGCTTGCCCAGGCTGCATGGCTGTCATCTGGGACTGTGGCTGTACCTGCTGCTCCTGCTGCTGCTGTTGCTGTTGATGATGTTGGTGCTGATGTTGTGACTGCTGGGAAATGTTCTGGGTCTGGCCCTGCTGATGAGCAAAGGCTGTTACTACTTGACCCATAAACATGGTGGTGGGGACCATGACTGCCCCACACGCCATCTGCCCCGTCACCAGCTTTGTCAGCAGCTGAGGAGCAGCAGGAAACCTGGAGGGGAACAGGTGGAGAGAAAACGTAAAAAAAGAATTCACTGGGAGGGTTGGTTCTAGACTGCTGCTGTGATGTTCATGCATGCTGTGCAGGTATTGTGCTACTACTGAAACAGTACAACATATTTGTAAAGGCAATACAAACCGAATCTGAGCAGCACCGTCCTGGGAATAAGTGGCCACTGCAGACGTGTTGTGTCCAGTATTCTGTCCTAAACTGGTTGCAATCTGAACCACGTTAGCAGAACTCTGCTGGGGGATCATCATGGTGTTGTAGAGGGACACAGGCAGTGAATTTTGTTGAGGCTGCATATTGAGAGATAAGCGCTGAGACTGGGGGAAAAAAAAAGACAGAATCAGAGAGGTTGAGTTCAAGTCTGTTCAACGTGTCTAATAAAAGCACTGCACTAATGAACAGTGAACCAACCTGAGAAAGTGCTGTGCTCTGTTCTAGGAGTGCTTGTTGTTGGGATTGGGGCTGAACAGCATGCTGTTGCTTTATGCTGTTCTGCAAAGGTCCTGCAGACCTGACCTGGCCCTGCATGTTGAGAGTCCCTCCTTGCTGCACAGCATTCCCATGGCCCATCTGGGTAGAATTAAGATTAAGTTCTTCATTTCCTTTCTGCAGGAACATCTGAAACATTTAAGAAAACTTTTTGACTAAAACAAAACAAAAGCTCTATTCAGTCCATGGTAATCTGTCTCCACTTCACTGTGGATCAGTTCCTCAGCCCCACCTGCAGGCTCTGTCCCTGTACTCTCTGCAGCTCCTCTTGAATCTGCCGCAGCTCATCCTGCTGCCGTTGGATGTTTGCCTCGATCATTCTGGTCCTCTGCTCTAGCTGGTCTTTTAAGTGCTGCATGGCTTCTAACTGGGTGGAGTACTGCCCCATTGACTGTGGGTGAAACAACAGCAGGGGAAAATGAAGAGGATAGAAATGTGGGAAATGTGAGGTTTCACATTTACAAATGCAAAAGACAGGATTCTTTTTTATATTCCCACAGGAACAAATGTCTAATGGATTTTTTCTGCCCTAAGTCTGTAGGTTTAATCTGTCTGACAGGGTAACAAGAGTCTAGCACGTCAACTCACTTGTCCAGGATTCTGAACTTGTTGATGCTGTTGTAGTTGGTGCTGCTGCTGCTGTAGTTGATGCTGCTGTTGCTGTAGTTGGTGCTGCTGCTGCTGTAGTTGGTGCTGTTGTTGACAGACCATGGATGAAGTGATGTTTTGGCCAGTATTTTGAGAGCTCATCGACTGCACAGCAAAAGAAAAAAAATTATTAAGATTATGAAATAATGATGATTTAATTTCCTGAACACAGACCAAATATTATGTTGTCTTTTGTTCACTCACGTACCTGACTGCTGATAGATGACCTTCTTTGTGATGTCATCTCCACAGCAGAGACAGATTGGCGACCTGGTGTACTCCGTTCTCCCTGGAGCTTCATCTGTGATGCTGAGGATAATACCACGATATCGTCTTCAACTATGAAGAGCTCTCACTTTAATGTTTGGTTATGACACCAACTAATATGAAAAAGCTGTTTTCAACAGTACTCACAGGCCGGGTCAGACACAGCTGTGTGTGAGGATTTACGTGAGCTGCGAGACGAGGCAGACGGCGTCCGGCTGTTGTCAAAGCGATCGAGAACGTCCTTCAGACTGGATGTGTTGAGCTGGGACTCGGAGCCTGAATCCTGGGACTGTCGTGACAGAAGGCGGTGCATTTTAGTTCCGAATGATCAGAACTAGTTCTGTGTGAACTTTAGAAAATAAAACTCTTCTAACCTTATCTCCTGGAATCTCTGGTGGTAGTTCCTCAATTCCAAGTTCTCTGCGCTGTTCCGCTCTCACCTCTGCATAACTGGGTATCAAAATTATTAATATAACAATAAGTTATAAAGAAAATGATGTTGGAGTGTTTTCATTTTATGTAATCATTATCAGATGGAAACAATTTTCAAGTACCTTACAACCATGTGTGTGCAAACAATAAACTCTGGTCTGGAATTCCACTGATGGTACGTAATGTAGTAGTGGGTCTGAAGCCAAATCCACTGCTGACCTTTGGTAAGAAATCTGTAGTAGCAGGACTTTCCTTTGCCATATTGCATTACTGCAAAAACAACAAAAAAAAACAACAGAGGATCACAATATAGAACATAGAAAAAGGCTGAGAAATGATGATGTTTGCCAATTGAGTGCTAACAGAGGTTCACTCACAGTGTTCGTGGCATTTGGCCAGTGTCTCCAGATCATCTACATGGTAGTAGTCATAGCCTGATGTGCCCAGGACTTCAAATGGAAGGTAACCTATGATGGGCGGAGCTCTGGACAAGGAATTGTTTTATTGTTATATTCACTGATGAAAACATCTGGGAAGTGCACATCACTGCATACACTGAATCCTAACTGGGTCATATTTACATTATATTTAGCATGTAATTCCACTGTGTTTCCACAGCAGGCCAGATTAGGACCCAGTACTGTCTACATACAGAATGTCCCACTTTGAGAGCTCAGCTGCAGCACAGCTAAATGAAAACACTGTGGAGACATCATGTGTTCTGGGATCATTTATTAGCATGTGACTTCATCTTGCTGACCCCTAAACCACGATGGCCTGTGTGTTATCAGGTTGACATTACAGTCTTTAAGAGATTTAAGAACAAAGTTTAAACATGGAATACACAAGCACCAAATATTCTACTCAACCAAGTAGATACTTAGAGAGAGGCACTTTCTGATTTTACACATCATGTTAAAGGCATGCTGATCTAATAATTACAGGACTGAAACTGCACACTGCTAAAAACTGCACAAAAGAATCTGAGAACTGTGGATAATTAGAAAATAACCTCACCTGTGGTCCAGGAACAGAAATTTCCACTCTAAACTATGTCTGGAGGTGAACTCCTCGTTTGGCTCTTCTACAGTGCACATCTCCTGTTAAAGACACTGGAATGTAAACAGCATTCTGACAACAGCACTGGTTATTATCCTAAATGATCTGAATGGTGTTTGGACTCTAATTATTTAACAGTTTATTTGACTACACCACAACTAACTAATGGTTAACTGCATGCTTTGTTTGTTTTTCATTTATTCCATTATTTTAATTCTCCACTAAACTGAACCTACTGAACTTTATAATTTAAAATAACAAATGAAGCCAGAGCCAGAGACAGAGTCTTTGGTCCATTCACAACAACAGAAAATTCTACATTTTATTAGCTAGAAAAGGTGTGTTTGCCTGGAGTGATCTTTACTATTAAGATTTGTCATGGTGCATTGATGACTCTCACCTTAATGAACTGTGGTTTGGCAAGCCTTACAGTTGCTATGAGACACACTCTCTCTTCAAAAGCAGAGTGAAGTGATTGCTGTATTACTCCTTCAAAACCGTTTCGGGTACAATTAGGCACTGAAAATAAGGTGAACACAGTAAACTTAGACCTGACGACCAGGAGAACTCACACCGAGGCTTAAAATACTTTATTTTGTCTGGCTCACCATTATTCAGGGACTTGAAGTTTCCAATGAACTTGACATATTCGTACACAGGGGGCTCTTTAGGGTCAATGGTCCCTCGGAGCATGTGGCAATAGAACTCAAGCTGATTCTTTGCTGAGGAACGAGCAGAACAGGCCATTAGGCAGTGCAATAGTAGCATAAACAGTTAAATTTAGTTGGGCTTGACTCTCAACTCAAGACGTTCAACTGGGTCAGACATTTTTGATGGCTAATAAACAAAAGGCAATGACAAAACTTGGACCAACAAGTATAAATGTACTAAAACAGATCATGCACCTCATGTCCAAATCTCTTTTTCCTCTAAATTCTAACCAGCACTGTGATTTTATGTAAAAATCAGTTATTTTACAAATCCAGTGCAAGATTTCTTTTTTTTTTCTACTCAGAGACCTTTATTTTTATTTCATTTCTATGGTCCATATAAACATGCAGCATAACAAGACATTGAAAAGTACCAAGAAAATACGTATTAGTTTAACAATCTGTGGGACATACTCTTCAGATATTCAGGTGTGATTGTCTCTCCCTCCATGATGTGAGAGGACAAGGCCTTGTACACATCAGACTGCTCCCCCACAGGCAGGAAGTTCAACAGGTTTTGATCAACAAGGTCGGACTGCGAGACAAAAATGACCTCTTCATATTTACAGGTACAACATTGTTGTCTTGTATTTGGAGCTTGAACCAGTTGTACTCACAGGTAAATGTTCAAGTAGAGACGTCACATTCTCAGAAACATAAATAATATTTCCATCAGTCATGATCGCGAGGAAAAACCCATCCAAAGCCTGTAAACAAGTTTGTACACGGATTCGCTTGAATGAATACATGTAAATGTTAAAAGGAGATTGTGAGGAACACTTTAGCTCACCTCCAGCATCAGCTGAGTGAACTCTTCATTTGTAAGAAAGGGGGGCTTCCAGTCTTGTCTGATCTCCGTGGACTCTGACTGAGCAGCAATTTCTTAAAAGGATTTATGCAAAAAGGTAATTAATAACCAGCTCCAGTAGAATATATGGCATAGCTCAGTGATGGTGTCAACAATTAAACTGTCTTACCCTTGTGTTTGTGCAGAAAGTCGATGCTCTTCTGCAAAATTGTGGATTTGTCCATTTTTCGTGTATTGCCCGGCAACATGGTGCCCAGTTCCTTGATGAGGACATTAAACTGATCTCTTCGTTTCTTCTCCGACTTATTCCGGGACATACTGAGGGCACAATTCATACAATTTCTCTTTTCACTGTAGACTGACAATGTGGAAAGTAACACAGGGCATTTTAATCAGTTTATGAAGAAAAGGGCTCTTACCGTTTGGCTTTGTCCTTTACTTCTGCATCCATTAACTCATCAAAGATGCTGCCGTCATCTCTGTGGAGTAAAATGTGAATAGGTCATGATTTGTGTAAAATCCCACAGCTAATAATGAGTATGTAATACAGCATACAGTAGTTTGTTTAAATACACAACATTGTGCCTGAGTTACAAATTGTATCTCAGAATCCGAAGGTTATGGTGATTTTGACCTATGACTCTTGACCAACAGAGTATGTATACGCTGAAGTCACGCTCCAGTCCACATGACTGTCTTACTGTATTGTCTCTTTTGTTGTTCTTGTGGTACTGTATTCGAATTGTCCAAACATTATGGTGGCTAATCACAAAAGTAGGACAAGCACTGGATGGACAAATACAAACACAGACAAATGGAGGAAACTACCGGTAGTCTGAATCATTTGTCTCACCTGTCAATGCTGGAGGTCATTTTGTATCCCGTTTCAGGTCAAAATGTTGCAGAGGTCTCTTTCAGTCGTGAGGTAGACATTTGTTGAACCTTTGAGGGACACAGTCCACGATGAGAGTCTTGAACAGCTGTATCACAATATCAGTAATAATAATTTAAAAAATATCCATATGGTACCTGTGTGACACTACAGTCAGTCCTGTGTGAGGATGAACAGTCTTCTGGATGAGTGGAAAAACCTGGACCAGTGGTCCTCTTGTCCAGGAGGACAATCCCAAAATGTATCCTTGATCAAAAGGTGTTTGAGATGAGCTTTTCCTCTGCTTTGGGAGCGAGTGTGGCACATGGCAGCAACATCTGAATCTGGAAAGGATTAAGTAAAAGAAAAAAAAAAAAATAGTAGGCGTCAGGAAATTAATAGCTGACCGAGTTAAAATTGAGTTTTGAAGGATGTAACTCTTGACAGGTTGTAGATGCCACCATGACAACCACTCTATGTAGCTAAATTTTAGGTTATACTTTTGCATATTTCTCTTGACAATTTTCCCATATTAATAATTCAACAGTAGGGATTGGAATTTGTCTTCTTTCTGTCCCGCCAATTATTAAAATTATCTTTTGTTATATTTTAGAATGTTGATTTATCTGAATGAATAAATATAGATTATCATCTACTTTAATGCATTCTCTATGCATTATACATTCTCCAGTCCAGTCAGGAGAACTGTGTTAAAGTGCCTTCGTGGCACTTGACTTTTGAGTCAGTTAATCTGAGTTAAACACACTCTCAGCACATTGTAAAAATACCACTTCTATCAGTGGGAACTATAACAATAATAACAACATGTTATAAATGTGGACTTATGACCCCGCTGTGAAGATTTTGCACTTCCATTTTGTTTGGTTGGGATTTCCCTTGGATCATATTTGTTCTGCTGTCAAAAACATAGGGGTATTTATATTTGGTCATGAGTATTTTATATCCAAAATACACAAAGGGGGGTGATTTCTCCAAATGATCAATGGGGAGGGGATCAATAAAGTGTTTCTGAATCTGACACATCAAACATCTTGTTCCATTGAGCTTCATCAAAATGAATCAGCAGACAGTTTGCTCGTCTCACCATAGATAGTGGGTCTGTGAGGAGATATCACATCAAACTTTATAGAGTTTTCCATCTTATGAAACTTCAGACTTGGTATCAAATAACCACATGGCTCAATCTTCTTCACCGTATTAGAAGAAGCTTCTATGAACTTTAAACATCTTGTCTAATATAACCCCCCGCAAGTTAATAAAAAAGATGCTTCACACCTACAATTGATCAAATGACACTTATAGAAGAGCCAGAGAAAGGGGTCAGACAGGGGTCGTTAACCAAATTGTCCCTCCTCCCAGAACAGACAGGCATACAATTACTACAAAAAAGAAAACCCTAGCCCTAAAGAGTCCCTAGCCTAAATATCTGACCCATTGCTGAGTCCCTAGCCTAAATATCTGACCCATATACAGTATTTCCTGCTTTAGTCAGGATATTAGCCTCTTTGTAAAGGTGTGCAAATCCCTGTATTGTTGTGCAATGTACTGTGTTACAAATGCTGACAATGATGTCCATCTCATAACACCCTTAGATTTAAAGGTGAGCGTTATTACCTCATATTTAAATTAAAGGAATAAAACAAAGCTAAGACTGCAGTCAATCATCACATTAAAGAATTAATTTGGGCTCCATTCATAATTAATGTTGGAAGTATTTTATCATTTTCCAAGCAGTTGTAATTACCCTGAAAGCTAAATTGCTGCTGAAAAAAATATATGGAGTTGTAGTATGTGTAATATTTACACTCCTCCAGTAAGAGGAGGAGCAGGTTTTATTACAGTCCAGTGACTTTGAGCTATGCATTCATATTTCCATGCTCACTGCATGTGACTCACAAGTCAGCTACAGGGAAAGGCGCCCTATCATAAACTGCTATATTGTCAAAACACTAGGCCCTATCACCTTCACAGCGGAAAAGGAAATAGACTGATGTATTTCAAACATATTCTTCATGGATTGGAGTAAAGGAAACATAGGGACTGAGGGATTGTTTTGTTTTGTTCTGACCGCAGTATTTTCTTTTTTAAAAAGGATGCCTAAAACTGTAATAAGTATCCCTTTTACGGAGTTCACAATGTTAATAATAGTAATGAATGGTGAGTAAGAGCCAAAGAAAACACACCGACAATGGAGCACCAGAGAATGATGCAGCAGTTGCTGCAGCAGTGAGTGTTCTATAACTGGAGGAACAGGGCTTGTATAATTGTGATGTCATCTGTGCTTCAGTGACCTGCTGGCCCAATGACCTACTTTCCTCCGCCTTCACAGATCTAGCTTAATCACATCTCCACAGGCAAAATCTTTCTTTTCTCCACAATAACTCAGTTAGCAGTTTCAGCGCATATACAAATACCAGTCATTTCACATGGGTTAATTGAGCTTTTACTGAGAAAGTACATTTATAAAATGAACGAGTGTGCCTTCAACATGTCTGTATATCATGTTTCCTTCCTTGATCACATGATATACAAGTGTTTCCTGGTTTTTTCTAAGCACAGGGACGACAGACGGGGGGGCGGTGAGGGGGGGTCCTGAAAGTCCAACATGTTGACTGTCAGATGTAATAAGATTAGCACCTGCCGCAGACTTTTCACCATTAAATACATTAAGTTTGGCTGGAAACTCTTAGCATTATTCTAATGCTCAAAGCCCAAATGTGTTTGTTTATGTGTGTGGGTGTGTGCATGAATAATCATAACGGAATATAGGGCAGGCGAGCTTCGAGCAAATGAGTCACTCTGAAGAGGATCCGTGGTGCTGCTCGTCACGTACCCAGCCACACCTCTTACTAAGGCGCTAGCGTAGCAACGGTGCCAATGGGCAACACCATAGCAACGGGCTTCACCATACAGAGTAAAAATAGCCTGACTGAATTCCTCCACAGCTGATGCTGTCGGTGGCCTAGGCTCTAACTGTGGAGACTTTCATGTTTCACAGGAACCTAAGATGTTATGCATGGTACCATGTCAACTCTAAAGATCTTTTTTTTAAAGTGGAGTTTTAAGACTAAATAATTATATTTGTCTTTGCAAACACACAGAATGTAGTTTCCATTCTTTGCTAGGTAAGGCTTCAACTTGGATATGTTTCAAAGGAAAAGAAAATTACAGGTGGAGAAAGCATCTTTAATTATCATTTAGCTTATCCATTATGAAAATACTGTTCTAATCATGAAGCTGTGTTAAGTGTTTATAGAGAATTAGAGAGGATAGCAATTTCAATGGTATGGACATATTTTGAAGCTTAAATAAGCACTGTGTACAGTAAAGAAAACCATCAAATGATGCAGCAGCCATGAGTAAGAATATATCTATAGTGGTACAACATGTAGATAAGGAAACTCTAGCAAATCTATGTTGCTATTTATTCTTAGTGATCATCTAAATGACCTTTTCACTGCATTAAAAAACCACAATAGAAAATGTAGTTCTTAAGTAGTGTTGTTAGTAGTGGTTGTTCTGAAGTGGGTTCTTCTCCATGTTTACAAAAACTGATGTCATGGCAACCGTTTGCATTGTCCTTACCAATTCAAGTCCCACTTTGACATCTGAGAAGAAGGGATTTGTGAAATCCTCACAACGCCCCCTACCATAACAGACTACACCATGTTGTTTAAGATGGCAGATTCAGTCATAACATTGAATCTCACTCAGGTGGTATGTGATACTTTTTATATAATTAGTTATCAAAAACAAAGAAGAGTGAGTGTGTAGATGTCTGGGGTTTGAGAACCAATCAGAATTGTTGTTGCATATACTGCATATACATACACTTCACACATTGATTACAACGTTGTAACTGTTACAGGACAGCCAACCCTGTTTCCACTCTATGTAAACACATCTATAGAGTAAGCGGCCCAGAACAGGTCTTTGTCCGGCCTTTCCACTTTACAGTTCACAAACAGGAATGTGTAGGAGCCAAGCAGCTGTGATTGGTAGGGGCCACGAGCCTGTAGAGTTCCTGAGCAGAACAGGAACTCTGAACAGAACTCTGTCAACAGCCTTGCAGTGACAGGTAGTTCATTAAGGTTCAGAAAGCAACAGACATTACTGGGAAATACAATCCAAAAACCTTACAACAGCAAAACAAAGTGTTGCATATGGAACTGCAAAACACGACACCGTAGAACTACATTTGGACAGTTTGTTTTTTCCATTTAGGGCAGAACAAATTAACGAGCGCAATCAAATTAATTAATGATATAAAAGTATTTAGAACAAAGGTTAAGTACTGGCTAAAAAAAGAACAAAGCTGTAATCATTAACATACGTGTGATTATAAAAATGATTTTGAGTCTGAATGATGCGAATGATGCTGGGTTTTTTTCCCCAAGCAGATTGTGTATTTGTGATTTTGTGTGTTTTGTGTGCATTGGAACTGTTCTATACTGGTTGATAGTCTGCAAACAAAGCCTGTCATCTGCATATGGCGAGCAACACTTATGGGAGCACTCATCAACACACCAAACAAATGGCAAGTTGCCGTCCATGAACATGTGGCCACAGGTCCTAGTCTTTACTTGCCAGGATGTTATTTATCAATAATTCTCT